GGAGGGTGGGCTCTGTAATGTTAGCAGAGGGGGACAGAAAGAGGTACATGTTCTCCAAAAATAAGTATAGTTTCAAAGTGGTTTTCCACTTTTGCAGCCAAACACCTGCTTTTATATGTATTGTGTTCTCATTCACAATGCATAACTTAAAGATATTTTAAAATGTTTGCTTATTTTTTCCCCCCCCCCCCCCCTATGTAATGTTAAGAGGGGGCTATGTGAAGTTATGTTTACTCTAATCAACCCTGTCTGTACTGTTCTAGAAGATATCCTTATCAGTTGTAAATTAGATTTGAACTGTCCTAAACAAAGTGTTAAAGATGTAGAAGCATTGTATGTGAATGAAGGAAGCTCAGTCTTGCCCTCTGCTTTCACTTTTAAACTGCTCAAAGTAGCCTGGAATCTGCACAAATGACTCGCCAAAGAATGAGAAGGGAAAATATTTTTAGAAATGTATTTATGTATTTTTTTAGGTATGCTGTGTGAATGGGGGAACACAACATACATATAGTGGGGTTTTCTCAAAAGTGGAAATACACTTTAGGCTTACACATATAAAGTTGTTTTGGAAAAAACATTCCGATACCCAGTTCTTGGTGCGCAACGGTAAGCTTTCAGGACAAATCTCAACCTTTTTAGATCAATGTGGTTTTATAATTTATTGGGGTTCATCTTAAAAATGAAGTCTTGAGAAACACGAAGGGAAGACCGAACTGCTCTGTACTTAAATCTTCATCCAGGGATTGTTTAATGAAGCGGCCTATTCCAGTCAGTGTCTTTGGCCTGGTGTTGATGTTGGAACTCTCCTCGCTGCTTCTCTTATACAGTTAGAACATTCTTGGTATTGGCTTTGCTTTTTGTTTTACAGCCACACAAGTTTCAGACCTGCCTTGTGGTCAAGAATGGCTGATAGAAGAAGCAAAAGTTATACAGCACAGGCTCCGGGATGTCTGATCCTTCTGCTTCTTCTATTGAGGGAGTTAGATGATCTGTGAAATCTGGTAGCAGCGGATTACATAACGCAGAGTAACGCCCATAAACCTTTTGATTTTGGCAATAGTAGTGCAGACAAATTTTGACCTGTTGGCTGGAGCGTGTCTTTAACCCTTTGACTATCATGGACATGTACTAAACTCTAACAATTATTTTTTTTTTTTTAACATTGCATATTTGACTTTCCCCCAGGTAGAATGGGACGAAGTGACAGTAAAGTTCTGCCCCACAGTCACATTTCTTCTGCCCACCTGGCTCCAGGAGTCTCTGCCAGTCTCTTGCCACTTGACATCCTGAATTGTCCTGCTGCAAATTCCCATTCGCCGACCTCTTCTGCTTTTACTGAACTTAAATGCCTAAGCTTTGGGCTGACCTGCAGATTACAGGACTCATTGTCCATCTGTATTGTGTCTCCATAAAGAGCAACGCTCTATGTACATAATCACATACAGGTGAAACTCGAATAATTAGAATATCGTGCAAAAGTTCATTTATTTCACTAATGCAACTTAAAAGGTGAAACTAATATATGAGATAGACTCATTACATGCAAAGCAAGATAGTTCAAGCCGTGATTTGTCATAATTGTGATGATTATGGCTTACAGCTCATGAAAACCCCAAGTCCACAATCTCAGAAAATTAGAATATTACATGCAATCAATAAAACAAGGATTGTACATAGAACAATATCGGACCTCTGAAAAGTACAAGCATGCATATGTACTCAGTACTTGGTTTGGGCCCCTTTTGCAGCACTTACTGCCTCAATGCGGCGTGGCATGGAAGCTATTAGCCTGTGGCACTGCTGAGGTGTTATGGAAGACCAGGATGCTTCATGGTTCTAGCCGACCTGTGACAATGCGACTGTCACAGGTCGGCTCAGTAGATCGGGAAGTGAGCAAACGCATACCGGCGTTCGCTCACTTCTCGATCCTGTCACGGCAGAGAGCCGTGACGCGAGGGGCTGGATTCCCCTCTCCCCGCTCCGATCCTCCAGCACTGACGGGGCGGTTACAGCTAGCTCTGCCTCTAGGTAGGCAGAGCCAGCTGTCACTCACGCAGCTGGGTGGATCACGTCATCTACGTCGGGATCCGCTCCAGGTGCGGCGTCTCAGTATACCGTGAGCTGTAGCTCGCGGGATCCTGAGCTTAGGGTGACGGGAGGACGCTAGTTTGTGTCCTCCCGTTACCCTAAGGAGAACTATGGGGAAAAGCCCTAACCCCATAGTTCTCCTTTTTTAAAGGAGAACTCCAGGTTTTAGAAACCTTAACCCTTTGAAGTTGGCTACCCCAGCACTGCAAGGGTTAACTGTTTTTGTGTGGTTTTTTTTTTCTTTTTTTCTCTAAGGGTGAAGATGAGAAATATACTTGCCCGATCCTCTGTCTAGCAGCCAGGCAGGACCAAGGATCGGGTGAGTATTTCTGTATTTTCAGTAATGTTTCTGGAGTTGTTCTATAAAACCCGGGCTGCCATCTTTATTTTATAGGTCCTCTGCATTCAGGGATCTTCTGGTTTGCGGGTCTTTTTGTGAAGTCCATGTTGTGCATTTAACAGTGTGTGGAAAATTCGGCCAACGACAAAAGGATTAGCTTACCAGAGTTTCCATAAAGCTCGGACATTGGACATTAAACTATGTATAGATTCTTAAAGGGTAATTCCCATTTCCCCGGTGAATTTGGGAAAATGGAATTACACCCAGCAATCTGTTGCCTTTCCCGCCACTCTTACCTTTAGAACAAAAGTTACTTCCCCTCTGCAGCTGCCAGTGTACGATCTGTCCCCTGTACACAGTGTTGCAGCCCGGCACTATGTATTTCAAATTACACTCGCAAATGGCAAGCACTCATTGGCCAGTGCAGTCACCTGACCGTGCTGACCAATGAGAAGAGTTTCTTAGCAAGAAGCAACACTCTCCATTTGAGAGTGTAATTTGAAGCAGGGTTCACATAAAGGTGAGGGCAAGAAGAGAAAGCAGATTGGCGGGAGTCATTTCTTTTTCCCAAATTTGCCTTTTTAAAAAGCCATAAAAACGTCAAAACAAACCATCACCAACGCTCTAGTTTTAATGCAAAAGTTATTCTTTCTCAATTTTTCAAGGATCACTACAAAGATTCTTAATTCTGGTTTCTTTTGCTTTCTAAGAGCTTAGATAAACCCCACTATGTGTTTACACGAGAGCACAGGCAGGAGCAAGACTCTGTTCTAATAGGAGTGAAGCTAACCTTTCATTGCCTGTTGTGAACTTTTGAAAATAAATATCTCTACAATGCTCATAGATGCAGAGCATCATCAAACTTTGGACGGAGCCTTTCAATAAGACGCATCACCTCTGCCATTGAATTAAGGCAAATATTGATGCAACATATTATGTTTTATTTTTTTGACTGATTGTGTACCAACAGTAATTAAAATGTGTACACAAAGCCCCCCCCCCCTGCCCCCCGTAACTAGCGCTAATGGAACTCCCAGGTCAGAGGTTCCTGAACAAGAATAGGTTAAAAGAGAACTTGTTTCCTCGAACTGAACTTGTATACCCCTGTGCACTGTTATGGTAGCTATAAGGGATGTTTTGTTTTCAAGTTGTTCTCCCTGCATGTATATGCCAAAGCATCAAGTGCTGTAATGTGAATGAATGCAGCCTCCTAAATTATTTTGTGTGATCTTAAATACAAAACAACCTTCATGTGTAAACTTCTTTTATAGTTCTTGTACACAAATCACAGTGTGCATTTCAATTTACAGGACTCCTGTAGAATCTCTGCATTTTAGGCTGGGTTCACACCTAGGCGTATCGAATATACGCGTTTGTCGCGCTTTTTTCGTGTCACACGATTCGCTGTAAAAACGCGCGACAGACGCGCGTTTCCCGAGGGCTACTTGGCTGTATCCCAATGGAAAAGCATGACAAAAACGCCCCAAAGAAGCTCCTGTACTTCTTTGGGCGTAGGACGTTTTGTAGCACGTTCATACGGCCTGGAATACGCCCATGAACCATAACCATAGGAAATAATGGGTAGGAATGCGCTACAAAACGGCCATGTTGAACCGGGCCTTACTGTTCAGTAAAATGTATTGGAATTCTCGCCCATGTTTTGTAATGGCGAAGTTGACGGGTGTTAAAGTACATTGTGCAGCCGGTGTTCACTTTACCATAGCACACAATAATAAGTCTTCTAGTATTCTTACCACCGGTAAGCGGCACTTTGACAACCGTGCGTCGGCGGTTTTCCTTACAATCTGAATAGGGTTTTATGTTAAACAAGTGAAGATGTAACCAGGAATGTTTTGACCTGGAATTGATGTGGCGTGTATTCAAATAGCACTGCTCCCAAGGGTCATATAATTACGAATGTTACTTAACCCCTCCTTGCATAAGACACTGAAGCCTGTGACATACAAAGCATAGTTGCAGTCATAAGATGGCCTTTTTATTGCAACATAAAACCCTGCTAGAACACGATTTTGTGTCTTTGGAACCGTGCATGTAATCTCTCCCCAGGTCTTACAGGAAGGACTTGCGGTTCTCTTTGGTGCATATGGGCTTTAAAATCTTGTGTTGAATTTGAATGTGGGTTTTTTGTGTGTGGACTTGTAAGGACAGACGTATGGGAGCTGCCATGTTGCTTATTTTTAAAGATTCAGGCACTGGGGCAGTCGCACTGATTTTGGCTTCAATAGCTAGTCACCGGGAACAAATATGACACCGTGGGAAGTCTGAATTCCTGTTTTACATGTCAATTCAGGTCCATGATGCAAAATGTGTTGACGCCAGGCTTGGGGATGACTGCCCTGGAGTCTGGACTTTAAGCAAATCGGTAATGGAGGCTACAATATTTCTATCAAAACAGATTTTCTTTACTTAGCATTGATTTAAGTTGTTTTGTTGCAATGCGTATCTTGGACACTAGATGGTGGCGGTGTGCAATATTTGAATCCTCCATCCATGTATCATTGCCTGCATTTCTTTCAACTTTTCCTTAACCTGACATGGTTTGTTTTCGTAGGAACCCAACTATGTCTGGCATAGCCCTGAGCAGACTTGCCCAGGAGAGAAAAGCTTGGAGAAAAGACCATCCTTTTGTAAGTGTTGTTCATGCACTTGCATTTGTCTTAAACTATTTCGGGTAGATTAGTAATTGTATGATCGTTTTTGTTTTTTAGGGTTTTGTGGCAGTACCAACAAAAAATCCAGATGGCACAATGAACTTGATGAACTGGGAGTGTGCTATTCCAGGCAAGAAAGGGGTAAGACTGACGATTCCAAAGTTTGTGTGTGGGGCTTGAAAACCTCTTGACAAACATAGTATTGCTTTAAAGGGCCAATTTACTTAAAGGTGACCTTTCCCTGATATGTTGTCTTGCACCATTTTACCCTTAGTTGAGACGTTTGGGTGTTCAGACACTTCCATTATCTTATATTTAAAACCCAACAGGGATGATGGGTCTTGCTTATATGGCCTGCAGGAACTCGGGCATGTGGCTCTAAGGCAGGGGTGCCCAGAAGGTCGATCGCGATCTACCAGTCGATCGCGTAGCGATCACTGGTAGATCGCCATGTCCTCTCCTCCCGCCGCTTCTCTGGATCCCCGCTGCTCTCCCCAGCGGGGATCCGAGAAGAAGTGAAGGAACCGGCGGCGGGGGAGGACGGAGCCGCTGTCACTATAATGCAGAGCAGTGAGGAGAGAGAGAGAGAGAGACGCTCGGCCAGGATCTGACAGAAGTTGCAGCCCCCCTGTGCGTGGACGAGCGGCAGAGGATCGGTACATGTCACCAGTATGTACCAATCCTCTGTGTAGGACAAACACTGGAGCGATCGTCTGATCACTCCAGTGTTTGTAAATAACTGGGGACACATAGTACTATGTGTCCCCAGTTATAAATGAAATGAACAGGAGGTGATTTACATCACCTCCTGTTCATTCATAAGTTTCTCAATGGGGAGAAGCACTCAGTACAGAAGCTCCTCCCCATTCAGAAACAGCTCGATAGTAAAATATTTTCTTAATGAATGGGAAGCCTCTGTGCTTTCCATTCATTTAGAATAGAGGCTGCAGAAAAAGAGATTGAGGACTTTGCTTCCTCAATTTCTTTTTTTTTTGCTCGCACTGGACTGGAACACAGGCACTAATGCAGGCGATCGCACTGTGGGCGAGGGGCCTGCCTGCGCAGCCTACGCCCCCTCCCGCCCCTGAATGCAGGTGTTTTTTCGTTGGTAGATCTCAATGGGCTCGTCATTTGAAAAGTAGATCTCCAGACGAAAAATAGTGGGCGCCCCTGCTCTAAGGCCTGGTTCACACCTGGGCGTTTTACAGCGCGTTCCTACGTGCTGTAAAACGCTCAACATGTGAAAACCAATGATTGCCTACGGGCATGGTTCCCACCTGGGCGTTTTACAGCGCGTAGGAACGCTCTGCAAAACGCCCTACGCCCAAAAAGTACAGGAGCTTCTTTGGGGCGTGTCTTCCGCGCGTATCCATTAGGAAACAGCCGGATAGCCCTCGGAAACGCGCGTTTGTCACGGGGTTTTTTTTAACCGCTGTAAAAACGCGCATATTCCGTACGCCCAGGTGTGAACCCAGCCTGAAGGAAATGTTACTAACCCATTTTTCCCACATTTTCAGTAGCACTTTATTATAAGAGTCGAGTCATTTATAAAGATCCTTCAACCATAGGCTAGGCTTCTTCTGATGTTAGAACTGCCGATGACAGGCTGACATTGTTGCTAGTGTGCATGGCTTCAGTAACTTGTGCACACTTGCTGACACTTGAGATATAGGTACTAGGGAAGCATGGTCAGGTATTACAAAAGATCTGCCAACAAGGAAAACGTCGTCGCCACCACCCCCCACCCCCTTCTCTTGAGCTATAAAATACTTCTCTCCGACCTTTCAGTTCTTTTCATTTACTTTTTTTTTTTTCCTCTGCATTTCAGACCCCTTGGGAAGGAGGATTATTTAAACTTCGGATGCTGTTTAAGGATGATTATCCCTCCTCGCCTCCAAAATGTAAGTGAATTTTTGCTTTGCACTAATCAGGGAGCACAAAGAGTGTGCAAGTCTTTTGTATTATGCATTTTATGATATCAGCAGGCAGCTTGTGGGACCCCAACATACTCTTACCTTGGCTATTAAATCATCTCATTGTGCTCTGGGATCTCCCCCAAGCAGATATATGCCAGTCTTCTGTGGCCTTCAAGTCCTGCCAGCTCCACTTGTCGTTAATACTTCATATCACCTTTTAATGTTAACATAGTTTTTAAAAGATGTTTGGTTTTTTTTCCATTCAAAAATGCATATTTTTGGCTGAAAACTGTTGAAAACCCTCCAAACAAGTATATAGTTTCTAAAAGTAGAGGCCCTGTAGAATAAAAAAAATGCTAGTTGCAACTTTTAATGTTGCACAATATTTGTACAAATGTTTATAAAATTTGTATTATCACTTTCAATACATTTTAACATTTCCACCGGAAAGGAGGAAGGTTAAATGAAGATAGTGTGAACAATTGTTCTCATAAAATCACAAACAGTAGTTGGGTCTCTTTCTGTTTTAACCTCACTTCCTCAACTATTCAGCTTAACATAAATGGATTTAAATGGCTTGACATAAGCCATTTAAATCCATATTTTTAGCAAAAAATATACAAATGTATTTTCGTGCACACAAATGCAATACCCAGTTTTTTGGTAAAATATAGAAGATGGGGTTGCATCGGGTTAATCAATACCAAACATGTACAATAAAATGTTTCCAAAGACACGGCATTTGGTGATTGGAGGAGGGGGTGGGAAATGTGACATTTGTCCTCCAATCAAAGAACGCCTTGCATTTCGGGAAAAAAGCAAGGCATTTTGTGAATGATCAAGTAGTGAGGAGGGGTGAGTGATGCGACTAGAATGCTTCACTGCTCACGTCACATCTCTTTTCGCCCGGCATTGTGTAGGGAGGCATCATATACCCTTCGTGAATAAACAGAATTAGGCATTTCTGTTCAGAATTTTAGACTTTTTCAGCATGTCGTCTTGTAGGCCTGTGGTTACTTATTACGTTTATTTAATTTCTCATGAGAGTTAAGAATTTATTTACATTTATTGATCAAAACTGTACAGCAATAAAATTGTATCTAACGAGTTAAATTCTGCCCATATCCACCATGGTGAGGTGTCTTTGTGTTCCCGGTCACTTGCTTTCTCCTTATTGGTAGCAAAGCCATTGGGCTACCCTGAGCGCGTGTCCTTGGTAAAGTGTATTTAAAGCTAAAACATCTGGTTCAGTGACAGTGGGGGAATACTCCTTACTTTTAGTGTGTGGGTGGCTCCCGTTGCTCCTTTTGGGACAGGAATTGAAGAGAGACAGACGGCAATAAGTAATTTGACAGATATCAAAACCTTTAAAAAAAAAAAGTTTGGGCTTTACATACATTTTAACACTAGGAGCCCATGGATTCAAGATGTCCCTTTTTTATATCATGTATCATATGAGATATTGAATTCATCCTTGTGTGTGCCGATGACCTGCACCGGCACACACAAGGTTGCACAGCGCCATCTGTGTGATCACCATGAGCACCACCACCATTGAAAGGTTGCAGACTGAAAGGAGTGTGGGTGGCTCTTGGAAACTATAATTTGCCGTGTGTGTTATGCTGCCCGTAGGAAAAAAAGTTATTTGTATACATGTTCAGAGTTATATGCCCTTGCAGTCCAGTGGCCTTCCTACATATTTATACTAGCAGAACAAATAAATGAAAATTTTTCCTAGCTGTACTTTGGAATTGGCATGATGGTTGATCTGATTTCTGTTTCAGGTAAATTTGAGCCTCCCTTATTCCACCCAAACGTTTATCCTTCAGGCACAGTGTGTCTGTCCATCTTAGAAGAAGACAAGGATTGGAGGCCAGCAATCACAATTAAACAGGTAGGCCTTTACATTTTACTGGTGAATCACCAGCTTTGTCACACGTTCTGTTAACGCTTCCCATCTCTCCACAGATCTTGTTAGGAATACAAGAACTTCTAAATGAACCAAATATACAAGATCCAGCTCAAGCAGAGGCATACACAATTTACTGGTCAGTATAGAAATATCTTGTTTGGACAATTAGTTTTACATGGTGATTCTAAAACCTTTTCAATGAGCTGTGATTAGACTCTGTAGAAGTCTTTTTCAGCCTTAAAATAAACCCGTTCTGAACCCAAGTCACAAACTACAGCATGTTGCTTATGCAGTTTGCTATGTAGCAGAAAGGGCCAAAAACCCCATGTTCTTCACTTTTGACCTCCTCCCTTCTGCTAGTGTTTCCATTTTTCATTATCTGGTGCTGGATTTCCCTTTTGCCCAAGCAGCCTGCAAGCGGGGATTGGATCTAGTGTAGATATACAAATATTAAAGTATTGATGTAGGTGAGTGGGAATATCACTGGGGAATATAACTGGCAAGCTATACTGTTGGATACCGGCTACATGACGTACTTTGTCTAGTTTAGGATTATTTTGCATTGATACCTGTAGAGCTGTTTGCCATCCAAACACATGGAGTTCATGCTTCATATAGTCACACTGCCAGTTTAACTTTTTTCTTTGTGTTCAATGTGGGATGTGGCGTATCACCTGCAAGCTATCTGCAATGATGGGGGGTTCCACCTGGTTGTGGTGGCAGCCTGTCTGTTCCCAAATTGATTTCACTTGAGGCTTCCTCTCCTAGTTTTGGGTTTCCATAGTCTTGGGTGGGAGCTGCCCTACCAAGAACATTAATACTCCAAAAAAGAGAATGACTAGCTAATGTGGGACTTCAAAAGCAAGAACATCTAGTGCCTCTTTAACACACCCATATGCAATGATGTTGGGACATTGCTGCCTGCCCTGGCTGGTGGGACATTGCTGCCTGCCCTGGCTGGTGGGGCATTGCTGCCTGCCCTGGTTGCAGCTGTTTCAAATGTTAGCTAAAGGGGTGTTTTTTAAAGTATGTATTATCTTTAACAACAAACTTCTTATTTGCTCCCTTTATGGCTTCTTTTCAGCTGAAAATATTTGTCATATCTGTTGTAGTATTAAAGACTTTTTTTTTTTTTTGCCTTTTAATGCATTCTCTGTCACAAGGCAAAAAAGCACCCAGCACTTTTGTAACACGACACATCTATATATTACAGGGGTGTGGAATTCCTATTGCTCGACGCCCAGGACATGCAGTTTTGGGTGCCGGGCGAGTAGTTCTTGGGGTTTTTTTTACATTTAGCCCTGCTCCGGACAAGCAGAGCTAAATGTACAGCGTGGGGCCGCCGCTCGTTTTTATACCAAGATTTTATCCAATTAGATCACTTGTATGAAAGGATCGGGGGCTATTGTGTCAAGTCACCGCAGCCGTGACCATGGCACACAAGCTCACCATAGAGCCCGAAGAACGGACGTTCTTCGTCTGCTCTATGTAATCCCACTGAGACCGTGGCGCTGTGATCACAGCGCCACCTGTCTCAGCCGTCAGGAACTGCACAGAACATCAGTTCTGTGTTTGGAGGGCAGGTTCCATAGAGAGAACCTGTCACCTCCAAACTTATCACATAGGAGTTTTTAAGCCCTATGTGATGGGAATAAAATTAAGTGGGAGAAAAAAATACATTTAAAAAAAATTAAGTTATAAAAAAATCTAATAAAATATATACAAATTAAGAAAATAAAAGTGATTAAAGTAAAAAAAAAAAGTTAAAACCAACCCCGCTGCCACTGTCATCTGCATGCAAATAAATGCATGCATAGGACATTGTGCGTGTGCGTTGAGTGCTGCCGCCATTCCACTGTGTGCGATATTGTGGTAGCCAAGCAGCAGAACTCTCCTTCACGCACAATGTGCATTAAAGGAGAACTATGGGGTCAGTGTTTTTCCCCATAGTTCCCCTAAGGGTCACGGGAGGACATAAACTAGCATCCTCCCGTGACCCAAAGCTCAGTATACCGCGAGCTACAGCTCACTATATACTGAGACCGCCGCAGCCAACACGGTTCCTGACATTACTGTCGAGATCCAGTGCATGATTGACAGCTGGCTCTGCCTATCTAGAGGCAGAGCCAGCTGTAATCGTCCCCCTCCCCCGGTCGTTCCTCCAGTCCGTGCTGGAGGATCGGAGCGGGGAGGGGAGAATCCCTGCAGGGAGCCAAGAGACAGACAGTTACGGCTCTCTGCAGGGACAGGATCAAGAAGTGAGCGAGCGACGGTATGTGTTCGCTCACTTCCTGATCTATAGAGCCGACCTGTGACAGTTTAATTGTCACACGTCAGCTCGAACTATGAGGCTGAGTGAGAATCACTCACCTCATAGTCCTCCTTTTTAAAGAGCAAGCTCACTTTCCCAAGTAATATGGGAATATGGAATTACCCAATCAAATCTGGCCCGGCCTCTCCCAGAACCCCAGGCTTCCCAGGCAAACAGAATCATTGCTCGTGCTCGATACCCAAAAACCTATATCGGTGCATCCCTGGTTTTGATTAAAACAATTTTTTTGTATTGGGACAAGTAGATTGTCATGAGGGACAAGTAGAATTCGGCCCCCGCTTTAGCCCTTGGACAAGTACATTTTTTTTTTTACATTTCCACACCCCTATTATAATATCCTATTATATAGGATATTTTATCTATACAAGGTTGTGTTTTTTTTTTCCCAGCAAGTCTGGCCACCATAAAAGATAAAAATGAAAACCGTTTAATGTCGCTTGAAGTGCAGAAAAGAAACCTGTTTAAGTCCGAAATCCAGTGAGCTGAACTCTGCTGCAATCCTATCAGTTAGCCTTGCTGCCAGATACCTCTTCAGGCTACAGAACATATTCTTCCTGTCTTTGGGTGACAACCCTTCTCCTCCATAGTGATTTTTGTCATCTTAGGACAGATAGGATGACAGTGAAAATAAAGGAAAACCAGAAAATAGAATGGGAACTAATGCAGCCACCTCATCTAAGGCCCCATTCACACTGAGCGACATGAAAATCGTGTGATTGTGAGCGATATTGCGCAACGAGCGATATTGAGCGACTTGTTCCTATTGGGCTGTATGCAATCAAGAGCAATAACGCTCGAAAAAAGGGTCATGTAGGAGCGACAAGCTACCAGCGACGAGCTACAAGCGATATTGAGCGACGAGATGTGAACAGCTCCATTGAAATGGATTGGAGAAGCTACATAGAGCGATACCGAGTGGAAATATGAGCGATATCGCTCAGTGTGAATGGGGCCTAAGGCCTGGTAAGCTGCAAATATTAAATTTTACATTTACATAAACCCAACAAAATGTAAATATTACATTTTGTTGGGTTTATTGATGAGCTTTACCTATGCTTTTGATCATAAGAGATTCCTGTATACCCTAGGGATGCACAGAATGGTTTTTCGGTATCATGTATCGATATTTTTTTTCCCGTTACATGCCAATAGAGTACTGGTGCCCAGTTTTAAAAGGAAGTCAGATGGTGGATCATGACCCACCTCCCGGCTTCCTGATTGCCTGGAAAGGTGTTCTTTTCGATAGAACATCGGCTAGTTCACTTGCCGTTGCTGCCTGGCTTCCTGACCAATCGGGAAGCCGGGTGGCGGGTCATGAGGTGCCGTTCGGCTTCTTGAGTGGCTTGGAAGCCGGCTTCACTGGTTGCTAGGCAGCCTGGCTTCCTGACCAATCGGGTGGCAGGTCATTGCATGCCGCCTGGCTTCCTGATTGTTTAGAAAGCCAGGCTGCCTAGCAACAAGGAAAGCCGCCTTCCTAGCCATGCCGGAGGCAGGTCATAACCCCACACCCGGCTTTCTGATTGGAAAGAAACCAGCTCCATGCTCCCTTGGCACTGCCGGTCAGAGGGAGATCTCCTTCTGACCAGAAGTCATGGTATCTGAGTTAAGTATTGAAATATATGTCATGGTTTACAACCAGATGTGGGATCTAAATTTGGGACCCAAGATCTGGTCATGCAGCCAGTTTTAGAATAAATTCAACTTATTGAACTATATTGCTGTGCATGTCTGTGGGCCTGGCGTTATTTTCATAAGCCAGATTTAGTGTTTCCTCACCCTTGCTATTAACACTTCTATTTTCTTTTTTCAGCCAAAACAGAGTTGAATATGAAAAAAGAGTCAGAGCACAAGCCAAGAAGTTTGCTCCATCATAAGCTTCAACCGTGTGGCATCTTACAATAAAAACTTTAAAAAAGGAAAAAAAAAACCCAGAACATAAAAAGGAAGGGATTGGTTTGGCAAGAACTTGTTTACAAAAAACAAAATTTTTTTGCAAAATTGAATGCTATATACAAAAAGTCACTTAGGGGAGGGGGTTATGTGTGCCATTTTCCATTTTCGCCACTTGTATAGAGTTCTAAATCTGCTGAATATTCCCCCCAGTTTTTTCATACAGGGTCTCTTCCTTCCGTCTTTTTGTATTTTGATTGTTATGATGTAAAACTTGCTTTTATTTTAATATTGATGTCAGTATTTCAACTGCTGTAAAATTATAAACTTTTATACTTCTATAAATCCACTAGTAATCTATAGTTTTTTTCCTTTGCTATCCGATGCAGGCATGCTATAAAAATGTTTAGAACTATATCTAGCCTCTAGCTGGCTGTAGTAAAAATTAAAACCAGAATACAATGTCATATTCCACCCCCTCCCTGCCCCTAAGTTTTTCCTTTTTAGGGTCTTTCAGTGACTAGGCTGCCATTCTCTGCAACCTAGCGCCTCAGACAGTCAGCAACTTGCTTCTGCATCACTTCCTTTGTGTTTATATGGCGTTCTGTCTGTGTTGCTGTTTAGATTAAATAAACTGTTTATATAAAATTTTTGTTTCTTATCTTTTTCATGAAAAGGACCATAAAAGCAGAAATCTTTTTGGCTTGTAAATTGACATTGACTTTTTTTTTTTTTTCCTGTGCATTCTGTAAAGAAACAAACTTTGATGTAATGTTCATAGAACATAGGATACGCAAAGATATTGGCCTGGTATCTTGATGTAATTGGCTGACACTCTGTATATGTTTTGTAATCCCAAAATGCAAATTTCAATAAACAGCAGTAAACCAAAAAAAAATAATTATATTCCTGGTAAGTATAATGAACTTTGTTATAGATCCGGTAATCTCGTAAACACTGTAATGCAAGTCTAATGCAAATAAAACAAGTCCAATTGGAACTGATTGTTTTGGTAAACAGTTCTGTTATGTCTGCAATGGGTATTTTTTGGCAGGTTTTGTTACTTTTTAAGGGGGGAGAGGGAAAAAAAAGCCTCCATTATAGTATTCCAGCCCAACTGAAGATTCATTTCAAATAGATTAAATACATCTAAAGTGTGCAGACTTTTTTATTTAGAAGCAACCACATCCTGACTAGAAGTCTGGCTCCTGTCAGTATGCTATAGAGAGAGACCCTTGCACGCCTTATGTGGAAGCCATGGTTTCTGTAGAGGTCCTTGTGGAGTCAGACTTGTAGCTCTGCAATTAAAGCTGCTGGTTAGGGAGCTCCAGCTTGGCGGGTGGTGTGTTGGGCCTCTGCACGGGTAGTGATGGTTCTTCTCTTCAGCTTGCTGGCAGTGGACAAGCTTTTCTACTCTGGATATGGCTTCTTTCTAAAGGTGGCCATACACTTTACAACCATCGCAAGACTAAGGTCTTGCGATGGTTGTAAAGTCATTTAAAAAAACGTACGATCTGCCCATCTTGGACAGGCAGATCGTAGTTGTGATCATGGGGCATTGCGATGACCGCAATGCTGAACGGGCAGTGTGCGCACAACGGCCCATTCGGCATTTGTCTCCCGAGCATTCAAACCAGCCGATAATCGTAAGATTTTCGGCTGGTTTTCTAGCATGCTGCTTAGACAAAAGACGTGCGACCGTACAGTAGAAACGGTTGCACGTCTTCATTCACACCGCACGATTCTCGTACGAGAGTCGTGCAGTGTATGGGCACCTTTAAGGCGAACTGTGACATTTTGCACACCTTGTTTTAATGCACCTGAATGCATTGAGCATTCTTTTTGGCTTTAAATTGAAAACCCCCTACAGTTGTGTAAAGTAATGTTTGGCAAATGTAGTTGCAGAATTGTACCTACTTCAATGCTGTGGTTACAGCTGTGGAGACTGTTGCAATGGACTGCTGAGAGTGCTAAGGGAGAGGGTCTGTGTGAGGAAAGAGTTGTAATATGAAATGTGTGTGTGTATATATGTGTGTGTGTGTGTGTATATATATATATATTTTCACAGTTACTGAAAATCAAAGTTGCTGGCAGAAATTGTATTTTTTTTTTTTTTTTAAGGGGTTTCCTAAAACTTCTATTAAGCACTAGCACCCTTAGATGGCACTGAAGAGTATAGGGGTTTCCTATAAACTAATTTATAAATGAAGTAAGAACTCCTTACGGTCTACATTACACTGGATGCGACCTGTTAAACATTTTTCATTAATTTTATCAAGGGTCAAGTACGCCCACTTAGTGATGCCTGCAATTACCAGTGTTTTCAGGGAACCCCTTTTTTTCTTGGCTAAGGCAGTATGGGGGGTCTTGAATTGTGCCTAAATTTGGATCAAGTCTTTCCTGTTAATGCTAATCACCGTCATTCGTCCGTCAAATACTGCCACTGTACTTATGGAACTTGCCAGTTAAATGGCAGGAGATAGTGGAACTAATCTCAACTTGACCAAAAGTTGAGGCCCCATGTACTACTGGGCTTTAGGATCCGAAGAGGCTCTACAGGAAGCCTAACACCAGTACGGGCAGGCACTGTTGCCGGCATAACACATAGCCAAAGGTAAGTTTCACTTTAGGGCCCATTTACACCAACATTTTGGTGTGTTTCTGCCTGATGCATAATCCGTTAAAAGGATTAATGCATGCTGGCATAGACCAAATGAGGTTGCCAGCACAGCTGGAAGCTTGTTGCAAAGTCTAGGACTTTAGTTGAGCCTGAGGAAGGATCAAAAATCTCTGGACTTTGCAACAAAATGTGCTGGGGACACATTTTTCCGGGAAGCGACAAGGACACGATTTCTGGCAAGATCAGCCATTTTCTGTACTTGCTGATGAGGTTCTTGGCCTGAAAAAAAAAAATGAATGCAGCTATCACAACCAAGGACTGGTAAGCTGCAATATGTAACTTTTTTTTGTTTTATCTTTGAAGCCTTTTTAAACCCAAGAGCTGCTTAAAGGAAATTTCTATTGAACAAAACAGAAGCTTTTGTTCTTGACCTATTAAAGCCAGGGACAGTCAGGCAGCTAGCATTTTTCGGCAATGGCTGCTTCTATACTTTTATGTATGGACACTGACTGTCCTACGTAGCACTATGGTCAAATCATTAAAAAAAAAATCATAAATGTGAAGCCGCTTCTTAAGTTGTACAACCGCACTACTAGTTTGCATTTAGGCGCCCAATAATATGCAAAGGTACCTGTTGAGTCTCATTTTCCTCTAATTGGGTGACAATGCTGCAGTGCTAGTATTTAAATTTAGGACAGCCTTTGTCTGCTGTACACTCTTGGACTACAGCAGGATGTAATGGCTTTATCAGGGAACCAGTATTACTGTAGTCACCTCTGATTAGCAAGAAGCTGGCCATGCCTCACCTTAGCTGCTGGTCTTGCCATTGGCAGCTGTAGATTAAGCAGCAGCTTGTACCTCACAGGGAGTTGATGTATAAGTGCTCCATAACCCCTTCCGCAATAATCAGTGGATTATAAAGAAAGTAATTTTAATGTTTCATTTCAAAAATACTCGAGCATTTCAATCTTCAAAATTGTCACTGATGGTATTTTAAGTCAGTGAACTTTAGTTGTGCTTTAGAGTGAATCTGGACTTTACAACTTTGTTATAGTTGGGTACTCCAAAGCAACCAGTAACTGGACAATAAACACTATGGCCGGTGTGTGGCCAGTGTTCACACACTGGCCACTTTATTGGGTACACCTGTTCAACTGCTCATTAATGCAAATATCTAATCATCCAATCACATGGGAGCAACTCAATGCATTCAGGCATGTAGACATGGTCAAGACTATCTGCTGAAGTTTAAACTGAGCATCAGAATGGGCAAGAAAGGTAATTAAGTGGCTTTGAGCATGGCAAGGTTGTTTGTGTCAGACAGGCTGCTCTGAGTATGTCGGAAACTGCTGATCTATGGGTCTTTTCACGCACAACCAGCTCTAGTGTTTACTGAGCAAGGTCTGAAAAAGAAAATATCCAGTGAGCGGCAGTCTTCTGGGTGAGAACACCTTGCTGATTTCAGGAGAATGGCCAGACTGGTTCAAGCTGATAGAAAAGGAACAGCAACTCAAGTAACCACTCAATACAGCTGAGGTATGCAGAAGAGCATCTCTAAACGCACATGTTGAGCCTGGAAGCAGATGGGGCCACTTCTGTCAACTATGGAGCCTCGGGAAACTGAGGCTACAGTTTGCAAGGGCTCACCAAAATTGGACATTTAAAAGATTGAAAAAATGTTGCCTGGCCTCATGAGTCTCAGTTTCTGCTGTGACAGTTGTATGGTCGGGCCAGAATTTTGGAGCAAACCCCTGTAAGCATGAGAGCACCTGTTGGAATGGGGGATTTGCATCATAGATGTGCAGTCCAACAAAAGCTGCAGCAACTGTGTGATGCCATCATGTCACTATGGACCAAACTCTGTAAAAGGAATGTTTCCAGCACCTTGTTGAATCTGTCATGGAGAATTAAGGCTGTTCTGAAGACAAAATGGGGTCCAACCCGGTATTAGCAAGGTGTACCTAATAAAGGGGACAGTTAGCATGTATTGTGAAACAGTTTATGCAATGCAGCAGGTGGGAGTATGTAACGTGCAAGAAATGGAGGAAAGTATGCACTAGTATTGATAATCAGGCATAGAAGCTTAATAAAAGGAAAAAATGCCCCAGTGTTGGTCAGTAGGGGGAAACTTGGTGGGTGGGGGAATACCCCATTGTCCACATCAGTGAGCGGAACAAT